AGTGAGCAGAGGCTGGAGGAACCGCTGCTCCACACTGCTCTCCCTCCCTCTCCCGTTCTCTCTCTCCCTCTCTCTCCCTCCCACCCTCCCTCTTCGCCTCCCACCCTCCTTTCCAGTGAGTGTTCAACCAAGAGCCACTCACCTTTTCCCGCTGTTCTTCACGCCTCTCTCACTCTCTTTATAATCCTTAACCCAGGTCTAAAACCGAGTCCTGTCACAGATGACGTCATCAAGGTCCTCAGTTTGGTGTGTGAGGAGACTTGGCCTCATTTGTATAGAAAAACCTGTACAGTCACACACTGTGTGGGTGGGGGGGGGGGGCATCCACCCATCCATCCATTATCCATCCATCATCCATCATCGATCCTCCCTGACATCCATAATCCATCCATCCATCCATCCATGTGTCCGTCCGTTCATCCATCCATCCATCCATCCATCTATCATCCATCCATCAATCCATCCATCCATCATCCATCATCCATCATCCATCATCCATCCATCCATCCATCATCCATCCATCATCCATCATCGATCCTCCCTGACATCCATAATCCATCCATCCATCCATCCATGTGTCCGTCCGTTCATCCATCCATCCATCCATCCATCTATCATCCATCCATCAATCCATCCATCCATCATCCATCCATCCCTCCATCCATCCATCCGGCCCACATCAGTACTGTAGGACATATTGGCCTCTGGGCCACAGCCCACATTAGCCTGGACCTGTGACAGGATGAAGGTGCTGCTCGTTAACAGTTACTCGTTACTATTAGCTCAGCACAAAAACGAAACCAACTTCACGTATTTTTAGCTGAAAACTCTGTTTCTGGTTTTTATGACATAAACTCTGTGTCGCAACACGTTTCCTGCAGCGACTGTGGAGAAACGTCTTTGTTCTTCAGGGTCTAATTCAAAACACATTGTTTCAGAAACTTGTTAAAAGGGGAGGGGGGCGGATGGATGATGGATGGATGGATGATGGATGGATGGATGATGGATGGATGGATGATGGATGGATGATGGGTTAAAAGGGGAGGGGGGTGGGTGGGGGGGGGGCAGGAATGGAGGGAGAAAGAGGTGGAGTGACAGTGAGGCGTTCAAAGACACTGAAGCTGCTCAGCTTCTGCTGTGAGACAGGATTTGTTCCGGCGACGGTGATGTCTACAGACTGTTCCCATCTGTGAACGGTTAGTGAGGTGTTCGTAGTAAATCGACCGCTGGAATGAAATGGGCCGTAAAAACCACAATCCACCGCCAACGAGACGTCTATCGTCTGAGCCGCTAATCCCAACGTGTTTTTGCGTATTTTGAGCATCGACAATATTTATTCACCCACAGTCACAGTCAGCTGACGTCTCCAGACTGCACTGTGAAGAGGAAGAACCAGAGGTTTGGCACCATAGGTCCAAATCTACAGCCATCACAGTTGAACGTCATCGGCGTACGGCTTCACAGTGACACGCTTCCACTGCTGCTGTTTTTTCACCACAAATGCTGACTCGGCCCAATCATAGAAGACATCAGAGTTGGGGAGAATGTTCTGTGTACTTCAGTACTTCAGTACTTCAGTACTTCAGTACTTCAGTACTTCAGTACTCATGTATTTCCTGTGAGTTGCATCTCATTAAATGTCAAAATTCCTAGAGTACAACAGCAGTCAGTGTCTCTGTAGCAGTAGCTCCACCCAGAGGTGACTTCATCACCTGCTGTGTTGACTCCATCGTGGTACTGTCAATACCACACCCCATTCACACCTCCGACCTGGTGACTCTACACCCCACCCTCCTTAGAATAGGGTGTGTTTTACTGAACCTACACCCCCCTTTCCGCAACGACTCTTGTTACAGGTATGCTGCCCCCTTGAGGCCAAATTCCAGGTCCAGTCGACCTCCCTGTGACCAGTTCTGACCAGGACTGAGAACCTGCTCTGTTGTTGAAACAGTTCCAGGACCAAGTTCTCCGCTGAGTCACTGGCGTCGCACAAGTCCGAGGAGTCAGAGTCATAAGTCTGAAGACTCAGAAGTCCTGAAGGGTCCTGAATGTCTCGTCTGGTTCATTTAGCCTTTTTAACCTTTGACCTCTTTGACCTTTTGAAGAACTCCGGTGAGTCAACCGGTCTATCACTGTAGGAGTGTGTCATCGACCCAAACCTCAGTCTACAGACCGTCTGTAGGACTAGGTGTAGGACTAGGACTAGGACTAGGACTAGGACTAGGACTAGGACTAGGACCAGGACTGGTCCTGGTCCTGGTCCTTGTCCTGGTTCTGGTCCTAGTTCTGGTCCTGGTTCTGGTCCTGGTCATGGTCCTGGTTCTGGTCCACTCCTCATGTCTCTGGTCTTTATAACAAATTTAAATGATTTCTCAGGAGAAAACCATCAGACATACACACAGTCAGAGGGCGGTGAGGTGACAGCTGTTTGTTATTGAGGCAGTGAGGTCACAGAGGTCACAGAGGTCACAGAGGTCAGCTGTAGCTCAGACTGAGAGCTGCTCCTTCACAGATTCTTTTATTTTTTAATAATTCTTGTTTTTATTCATCACACTCTAACAGGTATATGGTCTGACCCATGGTCCGCCCCATGGTCCGCCCCATGGTCCGACCCATGGTCCGACCCATGGTCCGACCCATGGTTCGACCCATGGTCCGCCCCATGGTCCAGACACTCAGCACAGATAAAAGTCAAACTTTCATTTTGTTCAGTCCGTGGAGAAATGTTGGCTGAAAGGTTTGGTTTCAGCTTCAAACCTGAGAAGAATGTGTTTTTATTTCCTGTCAGGAGCAGTGACTTCCTGGAGGCTCTGGAAACTACTTTTTTTTTTAACTTTTATGCTAAGCTAATGGTATCCTGTCAGTGCTGCAGTCAGCAGCTAAAGTCACCCCCCAG